ATTAAAGATCCCATGCAACATTCTTAATGTTTCCAAGTAAGAAAAATAAACTGTTGGTCTTTAAATGGTGAAGACAGACATTAAAGATCCCATGCAACATTCTTAATGTTTCCAAGTAAGAATAATAAATAAACTGTTGGTCTTTAAATGGTGAAGATGGACATTAAAGATCCCATGCAACATTCTTAATGTTTCCAAGTAAGAATAATAAATAAACTGTTGGTCTTTAAATGGTGAAGATGGACATTAAAGATCCCATGCAACATTCTTCATGTTTCCAAGTAAGAATAATAAATAAACTGTTGGTCTTTAAATGGTGAAGACAGACATTAAAGATCCCATGCAACATTCTTAATGTTTCCAAGTAAGAATAATGAATAAAATCCACATAATTTATGAAACAAAGCTATAAACTTTATTTGTTTAAGCTCAAAGCTGAACAAAGGGCTATCTTTGCTGTGCTCACCGCAGAGACTGAACCCCAAATGGTAGTGTTGCATGTGTTCTCCCCATATTCTGCTTATTTAAAATGTTAATTTATTTTGGGGGGAGGGAATAAATTCCCATATATAAAGTAAACTGATGAAATTTTGAAATATATAATGCTCAAGTGTTAATAAAGTTGTACAAATTTGTCAGTTAAAAAAAAATATATATACACGACCCATGAGCACATAGGAATATTTATATACATGTATACAAATAAGCAGCAAAAAAACCTTTACCTTATCAATTATTTTAGCATAGGCATTCTTCCCCATTTTCAGTGCCTGATCACGAACAGTGTAATTATCCTGTGTAAATCAAATGTAATAAACTTAATTTTTAAATTCCAGTAACAACATAAGTAGACACCAACTACTGTTATTCACATTTAAGCTAAAGAATTTCTCCAATGAGGACCAAATTCCAATAAAGAAAGAGGTGATCAAATGACTTAAAAAAAAAAAATTGAAATATAACATAGGTCTGCGATGGTTTTATTATCTTGAAGAAATTTTTACATGTTCTACAGTAATTCCTGTAAATTGAATCCAAAAATTATATCTATTTTACTCCATCACGTACAGATATTTCACAAAACGTCATAACACAATACATAAAAGAAAAACCACAACATGTAGTTTTGATACTAGATGTAGATTTCACAAAAGATATCAGGATGAATGAAGATGCATATTCGTTTGACATCAATGTTCTTCCCCCTTCTTCAGTTTTTTTGTATTTTTGTTAACAAACATAATAATAAAAAATGTTCATCGTGGTAAATGAAATAATAATTTGATCTAAATAAGAGTTTTTTTCTTCCCAATTTGTAAAAAATCCTTTTGTGATAGAAAAAAATGAATATTATTTTCAAAATGTACATAGCTGAATTATGGAAAATCTGTTATTAAAACCAAAACAACTTTCACAAAGTTTAAATTCACAGGCCTGTGTAATACATAAAACTTCATCACTGTTCACATTAATTAATGAAATACTATTTGGATAGAAAACAAAAACATAATGGCCTGGACTCAGAATACGATAAAATTTATCATACTTTAGCAGACATCTTTTGTAATATGTCTTAAAGTACATGAGAAACTTTTCAAGACTGTCCAAAATGAAGAATCTCTCTATACAGATGTCAAGATAAACCATCAAATTCAATTTTTAAGTCTCACAAAAAACTTTATGCTTGATAATCCAAGAATATTATACGATTAGAAAGTGGATTTAATAAATTTCAATGGCTACCATTTACATTTCAGCCTGTATAACTGAAATACCCTTCATCTGATTAACAGTCAAACACTGGAACCTTGGTAATATAACATATTCATCATTGAATACAAAGTAGATTAAAAGTTTGTAAATACAGAAGTTTACTTATTACATGCACATCAAAACAACTTTCAAACCTGACAAGTTCTTTCACTTTGGATATAACTTAAACATACTTACTACTAAAAGAAAAGTACTGTAATGTCTACAAGTATGATTTTAGCCTTCAAAAGTCATAATTATTTTTAACCATCATCTGCAAAATAAGGGTTCAAGTAGAACTGAATTCTCAAAATAGATGGGGAAATCAACCACCCCTCTTCGTGTAATATAGCTTCTTGTAGGTATGACATGCCCGGTAAGAGAAACCTTTGCTGTTACTGAACATTTCCAAACATATCTTTCCCTGTAACTGTTACAATCCACATGCAACTGAAACGAGTAAGAAGTAGGCTTGTGGAATAAATCACTACACAAGCACGTGAGTGTATTAAAAAAAGATGACACAAGTACGAAAAACAACATCAAAAAGTATGAGACAAATCAACTTTAAAATCTTTTATTTCAAGGACTTTCTGTAGTGGTTCCATTTTGTAAAAAACTGTCAGTATGTATTTCCAAGCCCAACAAGGAACTTTTTCCTGTTATGGGAAATCTAAATTCCTGAACAACTGGCATTAGGGTCCACTTGGAACCCTTATTTTGGAGGTAAAGTTCAATCAAAATATATTCTTATGCTTTATAATCCAAACGAAATATATATTATCATCCATTTATTTTAAATGGCACTGTCACATATAAACAACCAGTTTACTGATAATGAAATCACTGTACTAATTCACCACAGCTCCCACCTGGTTCCTGTCAGATACAAGTGTTGGTCCACCTCTTGAAACCAACAGATCAAAGACTTCAGGCTTCACAGAATTAAGGACAGCTACTTCCAATACAGATTTTCCCTATTTTTCAATGACAATATAAATTATCTTCAGGGTTTACACAGTTAAGGACACCTACTTCCAATACAGATTTTCCCTATTTTTTAATGACAATATAAATTATCTTCAGGGTTTACACAATTAAGGACACCTACTTCCAATACAGATTTTCCCTATTTTTCAATGACAACATAAATTATCTTCAGGGTTTACACAATTAAGGACACCTACTTCCAATACAGATTTTCCCTATTTTTCAATGACAATATAAATTTACTTCAGGCTTCACACAATTAAGGACACCTACTTCCAATTGTTTTTTTAATTCAAACTGCTTTATTTAATAAAAAAAAGTAAAATTATGAAAAGGAAATTCAACTTTACCAAAAATTAGTACAATAAACATATACACAATTTCTGCACTAAATCGTTCTCACATGAGTTTTAATGAAGGGTGTCATTGATCACATATCAGGGTTTCTTGATTCATGGGCTACCTTTTTGGTACCAGGCTCTTAATAGGTTTCATAATGCATATTATGGAACTTTTTAACTAATGTAGTTAAGATAATGTATTAAAGATCACTCACCCTTTTTAACTGGTTAAAAGGAATAAATGGTTACTCCTTTCTTTAAAGTATGGTTTAAATATTCAATAAAGGATCATTCCTCCTTCTTATGCAATGTGGTGTCAATAATGCAAGTTAACATTTTCCTAAATTGAAAATGTATTTCCAATAATACTTACCTCCGCTGACACTTTAGCTATTCCTCGACATTGGCTTTGCCTATCTAAGCATTGGTCTCATGCTCCAGTCTTTTCTACCTCACTTAAATGCCCTTGGCAATATCTAATTTGCAAATCCTTCCACCTGCTTTAATGCACCCTCTATCCTGACATTGTATATAAGTACCTCACTCAGATAATGTAATCACTTACACTTGAGACTTACACCATCCCAGTCACTAACACTGGCTCTTAGTGGGGAGGAAGGGTGGGAGAGTATCAGCAGAGGTAAGTATTATTGAAAATACATTTTCAATTTAGGAAAATGTTAACTTCCAAAACATACTTACCCTTCGCTGACACTTTAGCTAGAATACCACATTGAGAAGGTGGAGAGGCCGGTGAGGATATTATCCATACAGAATAGGGGTGTACCAAGATAAGAGTGGTACCCAAGTGGGGAACCACACTACATCTATAACAGATATGCTCTTCACCCAGAACTTAATATTGGTAACAAGGGTAGAATAGTACATGAGTAATTATTATAGGCCAGCCCCAACCAGATAACCGATATTCCACAACTCAAAGTTGGAATTAAGGGGTCATGTTCCCTATATCTCACATTGGTGACTTGAGCAATTGGACCACGATGTGATATATAGATATACTTTTGATTGGATCATAACCTGTAGCCATAGAGTGATGTGTTCTGAACCACTGGAATTACAATGAGAAAGTAAGCAACACTGAAGTGGACAAACTTTCTCTTCCACCTTAAAAAATCTGAAACACACCACCCCAGGCTCAGAATGATGGGTTCATATATGCCTTACTCAACCAAGGAACAGAAATCATCTAAGCTGGAACTATAAACATTCATCCTCACTCTCCAACCGAGTGGGCAAGAAGCATTCTACTTGCCCCCAGAATTATGGAGAGGACGTGGAACTCTGTGTTCAACCACAGACTAGGATGGTATCACTTCACATTTGGAATTATGAGAAGATAGTGGACATCCATCCATGAACAATATACAACCCGACATTATTCATAAGAAGGGCCAATCACACCCTAACTGGATAGTGTAGGATAAAATCTGAACCGGTATTATGAGTAGGCTCCTGCATAGGCCAGCACCACTCCAACTGACATCTGGGAAATACATCCAGGGGCCCAGGTAGGAGGGCTCTCAGCTTCACCCTCTTCTCCAAGAGTGGAGGAACACACTCGAACACTCTGGAGGAAGAGCCTCTGTCCACCACCCCAGCAACTGGAAATTGGGTGTGGTAAGGATGCTCCACTAGTAGAATCTGGGGGGTATTGCACGTTGGGGAACCCTGAGGAACAGTGCTCTGGAAACAGTGTAATAGGTGAACCAAGTTCCTTAAATTTTTAAATGCAAACCAACCCCAAGTTATTCAATCCAATGATCAGTAGGGACAGGCAGAATCTCCTTCAGCTTTACTCATGATAGTCCATGAGTAGTGGTCCATGATAATATGGTAATACCATCTGGTAATGCACCTAGATGGTCATATGGAACACCTTATTTCTACAGAGCTTGTTGCAACCAGAATTAAGTATAGTCAAATGGGTTGCTAGTGCAAAATTGGATTGATAAAAGCACATCTGTCTGGGCAACACTTGCCACAGAGTGAGATCCGATGAAAGCAAGATGTAAGGGACCCTGAAAAAGGATAGACAAGATACGATTACTCCATCCTCCATATAATCTAGCAGATGTTGTTAAAACGGCCAGGGGGAGTAGTGGAAAACCTCCAGAAGAAAAACTGCCTGATCATATAAAGAATGTGAGAGAAAAGCATTAGGAGAAGTCCGCATACAGGCCCGTAAAATGTCCTCCAGTGAATCAAAGAAATGGGCAGTGAAAGACATAAATGTGCTGAAGCTGATGAGATGTAACTCTCAGAAGATTCCTCACCTGTAAAGTCCAGAATATGCAACCTGAACATTTGCAAAACCACCTCCAAGGAAGTGGCAATAAAAACTTTGGAAACTGATGTATCCCAAAGAATACAGAGATGAGAACTATCACCACAAAAGGAGTTTGAGTGAGCCACATAACACCTCTGGGCCTGACAGGACAAAACAAATGATCAGCGTATGATTGATTGTAGAGGTGAGAAATATTATGCAAAAGAACAGTGGAGAGGGATGTATCCCCTTCCCTGGTGGCCAAAGACTGAGAAAGAAAAGACCTATCAGGGTATAGAAGGACCCAAAGGGAGATAAAGAGTCCTACAAATATGTCAACAACTGCAGCTGATTACATCAGCATGTCAGCAACAACAAAATATCCATTAAGAGAGAGATGATACATAGTATATGAGGCTAAAGGCTTGAATGGTTGTCAAGACAAGGTATTTAGTACCACCTTAATATTTCGATTAAGTAATGGAAAAGGTAATTTGGGAAGAAAGCTGAATAGCACTGGAGAGTCCAAAACCTCCAGATGTTTAGGATAACTAAAAGGAGATGAAAAAATTATCTCCTGTCGTTTAGGTAACACAAAGCTAAACCCAAGTAAAAAACAGGTCAAAACAAGATATGGTGAACACGTTTGGTAAAGTGGGTACAAACTCCTTGTTAGGCACACCCCAAGCAACTGTAGATGTTAAACCCCAATGAGCTGGGAAATGTCTTGGTGTAAAATGTTGGGTTGAGGATGCCCCAATAAAGATAGCCAAAGAGGAAGATGCAGAGGTGGACTCACATGAAGAAACTGTAGAAGAGGAAATCATGGCTAGGCTGTCAAATCTAGGCTAGCAACATCTTGCAAGTAGAGGATCGAAATATAGCCAGAAGTCTGAGTAACGGAGGAAGTGAGGGAATGTCATAGATGTGATATCCCATCCAAGCATGACTGATTGCATCTACCACCCAAGCCCATGGATGAGGTAGTAGAGAATCCAAAGCTTGTAGTTGAGTATCAATGTGTGGCAAAAGCTATCAATGGAGGCCCAAAGAGAGAACAAATCTATCAAAAAACTGCACAATGGAGAATCCATTTGTTCAGGAGAAAGTGAGGACCAAGACTGACAATCTGATATGAAATCCATCCCCCTAGGAAAATGGCAAGCCAGGAAACTGACATCACTGGAATAGGCTCCATAGAGAAAGAACCAAATTTAAGAGACCAATGGAATTGAAGAAATATCTCATGAGGATATTCCCCTGCAAAAGATCTAGACATTGCACTATTGCCTGTTGGATAGCAAGAAGTTCTAAATTATTGATGCAGAATGAAGATTCGTCTTCAATTCATATAGCCTAGAATTCCTATCCGTGAAGATACCCACCACATCCTGAAGTGAAGTATCTGTAAAGAGAGGAGCAGTATACATTTATACACACATA